AAAAAAAAAAAAAAAAAACTGTGCGCCGACATTTCAAGGGAGAGCAAGCAAAACTCTTTGTACTTCTCTAAGTTATAACCGGAAATATTTATATATAGATATATATATAGATTATATTTGATATTTTATATATTATTATACAGTAACACACGAGAGAAAGAAAAAGAAGAGAGAGAGAGAGGGGGAGGGAGGGCTGCATTTCAATAACACACGCTCCGCCTACCTATTTTCAATTTCTTCCCGGACTCCATGAGAAGCTTCACGATGGCGGTGTTGCCCTTCGAGGCGCATCTATGCAGCGGCGTGGCACCTCGCTTATCCGTGATGTTCACGTCGGCGTCCTTCTCGAGCAACGCCACGCAGATGGACTTCCAATTTTTTGACGCAGCGTACTGCAACGCCGAGTGGCCATCGATCGTCGTCGCGTTCACGTTTGCACCTTCGGCCAGCAGCGTGTTGACGACCTTTTCGCGACCGGCGGACGCCGCGAGGATCAGCGGAGTCATGTTCGTCTGCATGATTTGCACGCGCAATCAGCCATTAACGTTTTTATTTTCGTACGAGGATTAGCCGGCGCAACAAACGGAACGGAAGTCTCGCGACGGATTATGCGACGTGCGTTACGCGTGAGAGAGAACAGGATATGCAAAAAATGTAACGCAACGCGCGATGCATTTTGGACGCATTTTTGCTTTATACTTATTTTCTTATAAGTTTTTTTTCTTATAAATCTATGGAAAAATTATAATACAATTATTATGTCATAATATGAAGTGTGTATATTATTAAGATCTCCATCTTTTCTCTTTAGATACGTTTTCCAAAGTGAGATATGTTTTATGAAATAGCTCGCTGAAGTTGTGACGTAAGATTTTGCGTGAGATCGTGTTAAACTTTATTCGATTGAAGTTATTTGTTAAATTATTTTAAATCTGCTACAATTTAAGAAACATTTTAAATAGATTTACAATTTACTGAAGGCTTCATTGATTGCTGTTAATGACAAATAATATTTTGAAGTATTTTTATAAAACATTGAAGTACTTTTCTTAGAAAATATATATGCTTGTACTGTATATTCATTTGTATCTTCAGTACATGATCTGTGAATCTCTTTTGGAGCTACACGAATTTAGTGCATAGCATACAAGAATTATAATTCTTCCAAGAACTATTTGATATTTTAAGATATGAAAATAAACGATTCAAATAATAAGTACTTGCCATAAAATTACTAAGAATCCTTAAGGCCGCTTTCTTCAAATACAAACTAAGGTATTTTAATATTTTGTAATATTCTAGAGATCAATATAATTTTGAATCCTATCAAATAGTAACAATGATTAATAATTACAATTATTTGTGCAATTTGTTTAACCTTCTACAATATTATCTTATTAAAATTTGAATAAAATAATAAATATTTTAATAAAAATTTAAAATTATGTACGTTATGAATATGCTGTAAATTCTTACATCGTCTGGAGGATCCACCGGTACATCGAGAGACAGCAAATGTCTCACCAGATCATCGTGACCACCCAGTGCCGCCCAATGTATCAACATTCGGTCGTTCTGTGGAAAAAAGGTAACATGATAACATAACCTCAAACATATACATGACATGCAACTAAACGCTACATGATACGAACACTGTCCGTTTGTGTTTTCAGCTTCTCGTTTTCATTCAATAAAATCTTTACAGCTGCGGTTTTGCCGCGATATGCCATATCGAACACCGTGGATTCTTTCCGTAACATTTTGATGGATTATGACTGAAATTTTTAGTGACAGATGTGTGCAGATGTGTTTGACGTGAATGTGTTTCTGCTCCTGTAGATAGAAGCAGTGATGCCAGATTTGAGACACAACAGTGCACAATAACAAACCGCATGTGTTACACACAATCGCAACACGACCTATGAGCTCCGCACCTCGGCTAGCTTCGGACATTAGAAAAGAACAGACGTCAGCAAATGTATTTCTGTCTCCTTAACGAACCGGCAACGAGGACGACGTCACTCGCTTTTATTGCATATGATAGCGATTTGCAATCTTTTTATACGTATTTGTATATTATAATTTATGTCGGTTATATTTTATATAGTTTTTTTGCTGGATACAAGGAGTGATATAAAAAAAACACAATTTTATTTTGTGAAAAATTTATTTCAGACTGTAAGAAATATCTTACCGTTTATGTTGGAGGTAGCAAAGACTATTTGACATACAAACAAGTAACACTAGAATAACAAAACACTGGGAATAAAAAATATTATTAAAGATTAAAAAAAAGAAGATACAAAAGAAAATGTAACATAAAAGAAATTTGTTGGAATTTAGTATTACTTTTTAGTCAAAAACATATATCAGCGTATACGAATGCATAATAGAATAGTGTAATATGAATGCCGCATATCACTTTTGTGTTACATATTTTAGTACTTGTATTTGAAGTTCATTTTTAGCAAATATCGCGCTTTTACCTGAGCCACATCGTATACAATGTACTCGTTGTATAATAATGCCGACTTTTTAGTAAGACTGGCAGGTACTCCTTCTCCATATGGCACTTCAACGCCGTCTTCCATTTTGTAAACATTTTGTGGGTCAGGTTGCGTCTGACCGCGACCTATTATCGAATGCTTGCCTTTCGGCAGCTTTTCGATGTAATCAGCTTGATATCTCTCAGACATGTTGCCCAGAGCAACTTCGCAGAGCATCAACAAACCGGTCGGATTCTGGCTGTGCGTACAGCAGTAATTTGCAGACTTCGATACCATGTCGGCAAAGTATATACCCTTGCCGAACATGTAGCCGGTGACGGGCGCTTCCGGTGGCGCGATACGCAAACCCTGAGACAATATTCCCGCGTAATTCGTGGTTCTGGATCCGTGCCAGAGCAGCTTTCTGTTGGGCAGCTTCTTGAAGGGCTTGAATCTCTGCTCTTCGCCCTGTCTCTTCACGACGAACACATCCTCGATCTCGAGGTCGTATTGCATATGAGTAGCCGCGTGGGTGTTCTTCACATACTGCTGAATCATCTTGTACTCTTTACTCTCCTTATCCAACACTTCGATGTCTGTCTTCAGTTGCTTGTAGTGAGCGTCAAGCGGATTCTCCTTCTCGTCCGTCTTATCACGCAGAAGACTGTACGCGATCTCCATCTCGAACAATGCGTCCAGCATGTCGCACTTGCTTTTAATCTCCTCGGACGTTTCAAGAATTTTCGGTCCGGAAACTCCAAAGTTGTGAGGTATCAGTGTGTAGAACCTGTTGGAGGCGTCGATCAGTGTCGTGCGGTCCACGTTGCTCTTCTTTAATATCTCCTGCAGCTCCGTTAAAACCGCGTAAGCTTTATCAATCTGTTTCTTGGACAACTTTCCGAGCGGCATCTTGTCCATGTCTATCTCGAACTCCAGCATAACCTTCCTCATTTCGGATACGTCGAAAATGAGGCGCATCAGATCCTGAATCGGTTTCTGCAAATTACTCTTGATGTCCGAATCCAGAGAGGCAACCTCCTCGTCTCCGTGATCTATATCGATCGGATACATCGCACCCGGCACTTTGACAAAGTGCTCCCTATTCTTCCACCGATTGCCCGATTTCTCTTCGTACAGCGACTCGAACTGTGCTATACACTCTTCTAAAGACAGTTCTTCCAGCTTGTTGCCGCCAATTGTAGTGCCGATCCGGCCCCAGCTTCTAAACAAGTGGTATCTGTTATACTTGTCGTCCTTCAAAATTTGTAACTTGTAAAAACTGTTCTTCTTTAATTGTATGTCCGTAAGACCCAAGGTCGCGGTATATTTATCCTTGCCCTTTTGGTAAATATGCGCGCAATGTTCCAATCCGCTGTCGGGATCAACGGCTCCGCCACCTTTCACCTTCACCGTTACTTTACCAGAACTCGACTTCACATATCGGCTTTTGCTCTTGGATGCGCCAGATTTCGCGATGACGTTATCGAGCCTGGCATTTATGTCACCACCCCAGCTAGAGATGGTTTTCTTTTTTAAGAGCACAATGGGCGCATCCGTGTATTCTTTCGCTTCTTCGATAAAATCTTCAGTTATTACTTGGATGTCATGCGACTTCACGTCTTCCATTCTTTTATTCATCTTGTCTACTTCATCCTGGTTCGAAATTACAGCAGCCAAGTCTTCGTGAATTTTAGTAGTAACAGTACCGCCTAATAACACAATTTCCTTTTTCAAGTCCTCTTTGTCCTTCTGCGTACGGCCCAATATGACAAACTGCATGTTCTTTAGAGGACGTGGCTTTCCTTTCACTTTCGGTCCGTCTACTTCATCCTCTTTTTTAACAGAACTTGACGACGATGGTGCTGTCATCTTGAACATTCGTCTTTTCACTTTGGACTTGTACGACCTAAACGCAAATCGGAAACATTAATAAAGTACCTTCATCATATCAAATTTCTCCATAAAAATAGAATTTATTTGCTTCTCGTTCCTTATTGTCTAACGATAAAACTCACCTAACTGGAAAGTCTTTCTTCATGTCACTTGGTATTTCACACTTTTTCCTTTTCGGATCTTGAGTGACATACTCGCATTTAGTCCACTCTGTTACATTACCAGTGCATTTATAACCCAAGCCAGAGTTATAAATAAGTTGTCCTTTACATTTTGGACAAGGTTCTAGGGCTCCAAAGTACAGTACATCTGCTAAAAGATTCAGGATCTGCAAATAAAATCCGATTAAAGTGACAGAACAAGTCTAGCTAAGCAATAGATATTTTTTGCAATGCATAATCCAAAAATGTCAAGTATCAAGTGTTAATAATACAAATACATACGAAGTGCTTACGTTTGATTCGCCTGTTGGAATTTCCTGACGGTTTTTTTCCAATATTATAATCAGATCTTTTTTTCCAAGTCTTGATACTTGGTCTCTTATGCTATACAACTCCTCATTTTGCTTTTTAATCAACTTTGCTTCTTCTGCATCTTCCGGTTCCTCTTTAATCTTTTTGGAAGGTGGTGGCATTTCTGCTTGCGACACTTTAGGCAAAACTTTCTTAAGATTTTCTCGATCTTCTTTGGAAAGCTCCTTGGTACCCGGAAGTTCATCTCCACCTCCGTAATATCCCAAGTCTGCTCTTAGTTTTACAAAGCATTCCACATGATACCATCTGTCCATTCCACCAAACCTTCTGGCTTCATCACTTTCATAATCCTTCTTTGATATTCTAGCTTCACCCTTGATGATCTTTTCATCGCATCCTCTACAAGTAGATTTATTAGATTTGGCATATTCTACTCTGAAATCTCCAGAAGCACCCACAGTAGCTTTTGTTCTTTTTCTTCCTTTTGCAGATTTTGCCAGAGGAATATTAAGACATTCTTCTACACATAAAAATGCAAAACATTCAAGTAATAAAGTGAAGCATTTATAAAATTACAGATTTTGAGCGAAATATATATACTAACCAATTTTCTTTTGAATATTTTCTTGATCTTCATGACGAATTTCATCAAAACAAGCTATATCAGCGGTAGACTTTGGTCTTTGTTGTATAAAAAAGCATTTGAAGTGATACCATCTAGGTATTTTTCCATCATGAACTGGACTCTAAATATATTATAAATAATTTTTATAGCAATATATTAGATTCACTTTTTTGTATCCATATTACTTCAAGTAATACCGTTAAATATATAATAAATTACGAAATCAATAGCCTACAATAATTTGTACATATATTTCTGCACATACGAGATGTAACGTTGCTAATTGCGAAGAAAATATTAAAATTATTGTAACACAAAGAGACAATGACGTAAGGCATCACAAACGCCGAGTGTATACATTGTTTTGAAGCGCAATATGTTTCGTAACTCTCCGCAAAATTTGATACCTGAACAACAGCGGCGAGTCTGAGACTCGTTTTGTTGATGGATTGCTTGCAGGATTGACATTTAGAGCGATCACTTTTCGCGTATTCCGCTCGATATGGCAAGTCGTCGCTCATCTCGCTAATCTTCTACTACCTCGAAAACGTGAAAACGATCGTAAGACACAACTTGCGGTAATGCCGGTTACACGCAGTACTGACACCGGTCACGTTCAACACAGCAATGGCAAGTTTCCTACGCTCTGATTTGACGGTTGTAGAGTCGGCGCCAAAATGATTTAGACCAACGATACATAGTATAAATAGATAAAAGTATTCCGCTGAGAAAATGAAGCCGGAAATTAATAGTTTTTGACTAAAAGCGATAGTTGATTTGTAGGCTCACCTCTCACTCTATCTTATGATGTCTTGTGACATCGTACAAGATAGAAAAGGATCGAGACTTACAAATCAATTATCTTTATCGGTTATTAAGTCGGAATGTTAACTTCCGGTTTCATTGAAGTTTTCATTGTGTGCAGCCCAACGTCCTGTTGCGTTCAAATATTTACAACGAGAAACCGTTAGATGGCGATAAAAGGCGACTTGGACGTCGTGAATCTTTATACGCGCTACTTTGTTAGATTTGACAAAATTTTAGAATTTAGTTTTAGAATTTTTAATCAATAAACATAAATGCAGAAATATTTAGATTCAATGTGTATGCATACTGAATTGTCTAAAATTGGTGCAATTTTATGTGTTAAGGCATTTCTTATCATTACTGTAAAATAAAAAACAAATTGTGTCTGTAATCGGTTTTTGATATCAAAAATAATTAATTTTATGTGTTAAAAAATATCAAAAGTAATGAAAAAAAAGTAACTAATATTTCTGATAGTATGTGCAAAAAGCTTTTTTGCCTCCTGTGAGGTTTGAACTCACGACCCCTGGTTTACGAGACCAGTGCTCTACCACTGAGCTAAAGAGGCCTCAGGTTTTCTTCCTTTTAAAAATTATAAGATTATTTTATCTATTAGACAGTCAATATTTTATATAAAAATATAAATAATTTTATACAAAAATATAAAACTGCATTTTTAAAGATTTTTAAAAAGTATCTATTTGAATATCAGTTATAATTGCTTGAAAAATAAGTAACTTATTATTTTTTCTTTTTAATTTGTCTTATTATTGGATTTTTCAGGTGCAAAAGAAGATTAATTAATAGTTAAATTTTTTTATAAAAAATATTGTTATATAAGATTATTAAATGTAATTTAGAATATAATCTAAACGTGAAAATCATAGAAATGAAAGGGTTTCACATCTTTACAAAGGAATTGTGAAAGGCGATTTATTTGGCATAAATTTTGTGATCAAAGAAGTAATTTTTTTTTAATAAAGACAATTTGTCGATGTATCCGAATTCTTTGTAATTCACATCCTTGTGAACTTCAAGGCTGTCCGTCGTGGATGAGGCAATAAATCATCAGTGCGGACATCGGAATCAGAAAGTTCGTATCCAGAATCAGGATCATCGAGTTGACGTCGGACATGCTTTCTGCGAAATGCAATCTCCAGGGATATTTCTCAAGGCCTGGTGACAATGATAAAGCCACCGGAAAATGATAAAACAGCTATCGCACAGCGGATATTCTTCTCCCGCTTTCGACTACATCAACTACATAAACTATAACTCCCAGCAACAGGATGCATTCCATGTGCTTTCATCGTTACCATTATATTAATACCAGTTTTCTATCATTGAAATTTTTTGGTCACATTTTTTCAACTTTTATCTTAGTTGATTATCAGACAAAGTGATCACGGAAGTAAACAAACGATATGTAGAACTATGTGAATTCTACGCATAGAATTTTCTGAACTGTTTTAGAAAAAAAAAAATCTACGAATACTTTACGTTCTTGTGTGCGAATTATATAGATATATGTGCATTTGATACTTATGTCAAAATGAAGTGCTTTTCAGTGATTTTGTTATCAGTTTTCTTGAGCCAAAGTGTTTTTTGTTCTCTTCCGATAGGAATGCCGAGTAAGCAAAAACAACAAAAATAATATTTTACATATTTATATTTTCGAAATGAGGTCGAAGAGAATAAGATAGCAACGTACGGAAGATTCGAAGCGATTGCAACGTACAATGAATATAACGCCGTAACACTTCTGTAATAAAATTGATAATAATTACCTATCAATGGAGTTACTAAACCAAATAAATAGCCACAATGAAAAATTTTATAACATAAAATCGATAAATTTTTGATAAATTTTATTACAAGAAAATATTACATCAGAAATTGGCTATCACGCTCTCAACTATTGCAAGCGCGCATTTTTCAGAACATTAATTTGAAAGTAGAGATAAGCATTTAATAAATAACAATTTAATTTGCAACAATTTAATATAAAAATTATAATATTTTGTAATTGCAATATTTAATATTGCAATGAGTGATGTTTAATTAAATAATATTATTGTGACATTATTGAGTAATCATTCGTGACACATTTATGTCTTTTAGCATTGAGATCGGCAGTATTATAGACTTATCGTCGTAAAAATGTTCATTTATCTCACTCTATTTTATCTCATTTTATATTTCTATTAACTTCGAATGGTGTTAAAAGATGTTGAAATGTAAAATTTATTTTACTCTGTTGCATTGTTACTTCAATAAACTTGAATAAAAGCAATTGTCGCAATTTATATTGTATAATGACGTTCCATTAATGACGTTTTGCATTATTTATGTTTTTCAGTTCGGTGTCCTACCGTGCGACTAAACAATGGAAAAATTCGCATTCGGGCTCGAGGTCGAGTTATTAGATTTAATTGTAACGAGGGATTCACTCTCGTAGGCAATAAGTATTCCACGTGCGTGCGCGGCCAGTGGGACACACCTATTCCCGTATGTGTGAGTAAGTAAAGTTGTGGTTAGAATTATTGTGGTGAAATCGATTATCGAATAGATATTAAAATTATTTATTCATATTAAAACAGCTAAGTGCAACGGCACGAGATCACTGGATTTAATTTATTTCATTATTCGTGGCTTTTAGATGCGGAATGCCCTGAGCTGTCCGTACCGGCTCATTCATTTAAGGTCACGAAAGTGTCCGGCGCGATAGTAATGTTCTTTTGCGAGCCTGGCTACACTTTGGTCGGCAATTCTGAAATTTATTGCAATGGACAACACTGGAATGCGTCGACTCCTATTTGTCGAGGTACTAAGATCCAAACTAATTTCGTTTCATCACAATTGCTCTTCTTCTGTTCAATGCAGTACAATTATCATTTCGATTTAGTAATTGCTTGTGCAATAACAAACCATGCTGCAAAATTCATATTTAACAGC